TTTACTTATTCAATGCCATTTATACTTGAACATTTGGATTTGATTACATAGTGTTGTAGTTATTTTAGTAATTTGTTTAAAGTGGCTATTAATTTTAAATACATATATTTTAAGGTTGACTTGTACAGTGATCAAGTCAAGTGTGGACTGGAGTTTTAGATTTTCATTTTGATAATGAAGAAAACAAGTATATGAGAAAACAAGTGGTGTTTCTTTGATTTGTTTACATATTGTTTATGTTTCGAATGTTTGGATTTGTATAATTTAAACCTGCACTGACTACTGTAACATGTTCCAGAAAAATAAGCTATTTGTTCCTTTACTTGTGAAAAGTTGCACTTTTGCTAAGGCTTTGTGTTATTTTAGGTTTAATAAACACTGTTAAACCTTTTCAGTTTGTGTAGAACAGGACTATCAATGCTTTCTGAACATATGCAACACCGTTTAAAAAATACCGCGATAATACCGAAAACCGTGATAATTTTGGTCACAATAACCGTGAGGTTAAATTTTCATACCGTGACAACCCTAGTAATATCATCAATATCGGGTGATGTTAAGTAATTTTTTAACACATTGGTCTGATAAATAAAACTGGGCCGATATTATCAACTGATTTTTTTCCCCCATCTTGTTTCCATTTGCTCGTCTGTTTCAGAGGGCGAGGGGGTGACATGTAGCCTAGTGAACTAGACCAAATTCTTACTTTGCAAAGAATGGTCTAGGCATGCTCCATTGGAACCTCAGCAGCTCCTACCAGGACTCTGGCTAGCCAATCACAGCTCTCTAGAGGAGTTTCAAACACACAAAGAGCTGTGATTGGTCCATAATGGTGGGCCAATCATAGTGCTCTATCTGCTTAGTGAACAAATCACAGAGCTTTATCCACTTCGTGGGCCAATCAGGGCACTCTATATGCCTGGTGGGTGGGATGATGCAACAGAGTGAAACAAGAGTATGTCACATTCATTGTCCAGTGGAATGCGGAGATCATTTGAAAGACAACGGTAGAACCCGCCCCACAACCGAGAGCCGTCAATGGAGCGTGGCCAGACTAAATAATACATTTATTTAGTCTGGCTTGCCAGGCTAGGTGACATGTATTTGTTTAGTCATGTGACAATGATTGTAATCGCCTCAGAAGTGTAAATGTGGTGTGTGTACATAATAACGTAAATTCAGCTTTAATCATGTTCATTCTATACAAAATCTGCTGATTTCAGAAGAATTAATGTCGTATATCGGTATCGGCTAATATCGATTATCGGCCATAACGGTGATAATAATATCGGTATCAGCCCAGAAATTTCATATCGGTGCATCACTAGTTTAAACTGTATAAATAATCACATTCCTCCTTATACACAGGCCAAATCTATCTGCAATGATATATATATATATATATATATATATATATATATATATATATATAAAAACGCAAAAAAACACACAAACACACGCAGACACAGATGCCTTTCTCTTTTTTTTTCACAGATCTTTTTTTCTTTTTCACTTAGATTTCAGCTTGATCGCTTCATCGGAGGAACTGGGAGGTGTTTTGTGAAATCTCTTTTGGAAAAACTGCTTTTTATGAACAGGGAATCACCGTGTGGAATTCTGATTGGCTTGACTTTAGACTGAAGCAGATTCTCAACACAGACCAGATTTGTACTCACCCATTATGGCAACACTATGATACTGATTAAATTTGATTCCTAATGTTAAGAAGCTGAGCTATTTGTAATCTCTACTCCAAGCAGGTATAATTCAACATTATAGTTCTTGCAGTAGCTTGAACTGTCCAGCAGGGGTCAGTGTAAGGCCGTGGGATATTCATAACTAAGGCTGCATAAACCAGAAAATAGCAGAAGTGTGTTCCGTTTTCCAAAGACAATTAAATTATTCCAAAATGATATCTTGAATTTCTGCAGAAGTAAAGACAATGCAGTTGCATTTTTGTGTAAATTGACCCCGTAGTTATTTTTTACTCTGAGGCCACGTCTCCACATGCAACGAGTCTCATTCTGATCAACAAACAGAACATTCTTTATTTTGGTCTTTCTCTGTCCCCCTCGCTGTCTCTCATGGTGCGACAGGAAACACATGCTTCAGCTATTTCCTGTATCTCTACAGACACTAAGCCTTCTGCATCCATTCAAACAGAGACATTCAATCCTATTTGTTCTGCAAACCCACTCCATGCGTCGTTCTTTACATTCTTCTCTTCTCCCCATTAAATAGATATTGGTTTTTTTCTGCATTGACTTTCCCGCTTGTGTTACCTCCATCCAAGCTGCGGCTGATGCGCTTTGATGAGGTGCGGTCGAAGCTAGGAGCGGGTCTGTCTATGAGGGAACTGGCCAAGCGAGTTTGGGCTTGGGTCCGCCCGCTGTAGCGGAACTTAGATCCCAGAGTCAAGAAGCGGGCTTTGTTAGGAGGCTCCGGTGCGTTTAACCTACCAAAATGAACCGGCGGGAGACAAGAAGAGGCAGAGATGAAATTACTAAAGTATTCCGTCATTTACTTTGAAATAATATTTTGCTTCTACTACATGTACAGGAAAATTCTACTACACGTACAGGAGAATTCTACTACATGTACATGAGAATTCTACTACATGTACAGGAGAATTCTACTACACGTACAGGAGAATTCTACTACATGTACAGGAGAATTCTACTACATGTACAGGAGAATTCTACTACATGTACAGGAGAATTCTACTACATGTACAGGAGAATTCTACTACACGTACAGGAGAATTCTACTACATGTACAGGAGAATTCTACTACACGTACAGGAGAATTCTACTACACGTACAGGAGAATTCTACTACACGTACAGGAGAATTCTACTACATGTACAGGAGAATTCTACTACACGTACAGGAGAATTCTACTACACGTACAGGAGAATTCTACTACATGTACAGGAGAATTCTACTACATGTACATGAGAATTCTACTACACGTACAGGAGAATTCTACTACATGTACAGGAGAATTCTACTACATGTACATGAGAATTCTACTACATGTACAGGAGAATTCTACTACATGTACAGGAGAATTCTACTACACGTACAGGAGAATTCTACTACATGTACAGGAGAATTCTACTACACGTACAGGAGAATTCTACTACACGTACAGGAGAATTCTACTACACGTACAGGAGAATTCTACTACACGTACAGGAGAATTCTACTACATGTACAGGAGAATTCTACTACATGTACATGAGAATTCTACTACATGTACAGGAGAATTCTACTACACGTACAGGAGAATTCTACTACATGTACAGGAGAATTCTACTACACGTACAGGAGAATTCTACTACACGTACAGGAGAATTCTACTACATGTACAGGAGAATTCTACTACACGTACAGGAGAATTCTACTACACGTACAGGAGAATTCTACTACACGTACAGGAGAATTCTACTACACGTACAGGAGAATTCTACTACACGTACAGGAGAATTCTACTACACGTACAGGAGAATTCTACTACACGTACAGGAGAATTCTACTACACGTACAGGAGAATTCTACTACACGTACAGGAGAATTCTACTACATGTACAGGAGAATTCTACTACACGTACAGGAGAATTCTACTACATGTACAGGAGAATTCTACTACATGTACAGGAGAATTCTACTACATGTACAGGAGAATTCTACTACACGTACAGGAGAATTCTACTACATGTACAGGAGAATTCTACTACACGTACAGGAAAATTCTACTACACGTACAGGAGAATTCTACTACATGTACAGGAGAATTCTACTACACGTACAGGAGAATTCTACTACACGTACAGGAGAATTCTACTACACGTACAGGAGAATTCTACTACACGTACAGGAGAATTCTACTACATGTACAGGAGAATTCTACTACATGTACAGGAGAATTCTACTACACGTACAGGAGAATTCTACTACATGTACAGGAGAATTCTACTACATGTACAGGAGAATTCTACTACACGTACAGGAGAATTCTACTACATGTACAGGAGAATTCTACTACATGTACAGGAGAATTCTACTACACGTACAGGAGAATTCTACTACATGTACAGGAGAATTCTACTACACGTACAGGAGAATTCTACTACATGTACAGGAGAATTCTACTACACGTACAGGAGAATTCTACTACATGTACAGGAGAATTCTACTACACGTACAGGAGAATTCTACTACATGTACAGGAGAATTCTACTACACGTACAGGAGAATTCTACTACATGTACAGGAGAATTCTACTACATGTACAGGAGAATTCTACTACATGTACAGGAGAATTCTACTACATGTACAGGAGAATTCTACTACACGTACAGGAGAATTCTACTACACGTACAGGAGAATTCTACTACATGTACAGGAGAATTCTACTACATGTACAGGAGAATTCTACTACATGTACAGGAGAATTCTACTACATGTACAGGAGAATTCTACTACACGTACAGGAGAATTCTACTACATGTACAGGAGAATTCTACTACATGTACAGGAGAATTCTACTACACGTACAGGAGAATTCTACTACACGTACAGGAGAATTCTACTACATGTACAGGAGAATTCTACTACATGTACAGGAGAATTCTACTACACGTACAGGAGAATTCTACTACACGTACAGGAGAATTCTACTACACGTACAGGAGAATTCTACTACACGTACAGGAGAATTCTACTACACGTACAGGAGAATTCTACTACACGTACAGGAGAATTCTACTACACGTACAGGAGAATTCTACTACACGTACAGGAGAATTCTACTACATGTACATGAGAATTCTACTACACGTACAGGAGAATTCTACTACATGTACAGGAGAATTCTACTACACGTACAGGAGAATTCTACTACACGTACAGGAGAATTCTACTACATGTACAGGAGAATTCTACTACACGTACAGGAGAATTCTACTACACGTACAGGAGAATTCTACTACATGTACAGGAGAATTCTACTACACGTACAGGAGAATTCTACTACACGTACAGGAGAATTCTACTACACGTACAGGAGAATTCTACTACATGTACAGGAGAATTCTACTACACGTACAGGAGAATTCTACTACACATACAGGAGAATTCTACTACACGTACAGGAGAATTCTACTACATGTACAGGAGAATTCTACTACACGTACAGGAGAATTCTACTACATGTACAGGAGAATTCTACTACACGTACAGGAGAATTCTACTACATGTACAGGAGAATTCTACTACATGTACAGGAGAATTCTACTACACGTACAGGAGAATGATGAAACTAGTTTCAAGCGCGCTTTCCTTGAACAGGAAATTAAAGAGCAAGTCACTCCAAATCACCATTTTTTTGCTGATAAACTATATAAATGAGTGTCTGATTGGGCTGTAGACACGTGTAGTCAATAATTTTCTGCCTAAAACTGTCAGCGATGCACCGTCGTCAGGCAAAAACTCTGCACTGCATTGGAATTTAAATCTGCCATCGCTATTAGCTAAGAGGTACACTATGATGTTAGATGGTACATTATGATGTCACAATGTCGTGAGTGTGTGTATTTGTTAGAGGCTCCGCCCTCTGGGTCTGCTAGGCAACAGCATTTGTTGCATTTTTCAAACAGGAAGTGGGAGTGGAGTTAGACTCTGGCAGGGGGTGACTTGCTCTTTAAAGAGCAATGTACCAGTTTACATCATAGCATACCTCTTAGCCAATAGCAGTGGCAGATTTAAATTAAAATACAGTGCAGAGTTTTTACCTGACAACGGCACAACACTGCCCGTTTTAGGCAGAATATTTCAATTTTAACTAAAATGCACTGAAGTGCCAAATTATTGACTACATGTGTCTGCAGCACAATCAGACTCGTTTATTTAGTTTATCAGCAAAAAAAAGGTTTATTTGGGGGTGACTTGCTCTTTAAAGCTTAATCTCTTGGATACACACATGCATGAGTACATAAAACACACACTAGTACTAAAACCTGGCTTATCATCGTTTATATGTGTGTGCTCGTCTGTGTGTTACGGTTTCTCTTCGCTAACCACGTGAACCGTGTCAACCTGCGGAACACAATGACCTAAACCCCTTCTGTACTACAAACCAACGTGCTCCAGAGTGTGTGTTTGTTTCTACCTGAAGAAGCTGTGATTCTCCACACACACCTTCCACAGCCTCTTGGCAGATCGATGATTCTGAAGTTTGAATCCCACCGTGCTCTCAAACTGCTCCGTCTGTCAATATAACAAACAGGCAGCAATCACTGATAAAGATTTACTTCCATCCCAGACGGACTCAGTCAGATCTACCGTCATTTCATTCAGCTCACCTTAATCTGATTCAGTTTGAGTCCAAGTCTTTATGATTCACTGAATCATTAAGACACATTTTGATGACGAGAGCGCTTGTTTGCAACAGGTGGCAAAAATTACTTTAGGGTTTGTGTGAAAACACGTACTGGACTCCCAACTGCTCACCTCACCAAACTGACATCATCAAACCAGATAAGAAGGCGGCAAAAAAGAAAAATGGCTGCGAGTTTAGCAAGCCTCTCATCCTCCTTCCAGGATGAAGAAAGAAGCATTAAGAGTGGAGAAAACCACTATAAATATGGCCATGTGGAAAGTAACAGCTACGCTGGGGGAGAAGAGATTCTGTTGTGATGTACAGGGCATGCCCCGCCCCCCTCCCCGACCCTACCGTGTCCACTGACACGAGCGGCGCAACAAAACTAGAGCCCTCCATCAGCTGATTCTGGTGAGAAACAGCAGCAGAACGCGTGCACCCACCCCCCACCCCCCCAACGGAGGAGCGCTGCGTGACGGAGCGCGCGAATCGTCCACCATCCCCCACACCGTACTCTTAAACTCCTTCAGTCACGAGTGAATAAACATTCATGTTTTAAAGATTTTCTCCACGAGTCGTTCTTCAGTCGTTAAATATCTTTTGACGTTTTGACGGGGCAACGGCCGCGTTGTTGATGAATTTACGGAAAGCGGCATCCTGACCAATCACAAGCTGTCGGCGTCCTCACTCTCTGCGAGCGTGTCGGAGAATTCTCGCGCCGATGCATGATGGCATCGATGATGAATAGAAAACTGTTTCAATTCAACCCAACTGAATGTTGTTCAGTTCAATCGAAACGAATATAAATCAATTCAACACACAGTTGCCCCCATTGGTTCTGAATGAGTAAACATCAGTATTTACCACCCGCACTTGTTCTGAATGAGTACGTTTACATGCAGCCAATATCCGGGTTATGATCGGGTTAAGGTCGGTATTCGGGTTTCTGAGTTGATCAGAATAACCCGTTTACAAGCATAAATAGAAAGAGTTACCCCTAACTTGCATAACCTGATTTAAATGCGGACGCTGGGGTAGCGTCAGGACATATGGACTACGTCCAGACGCAATATGCGTCATTTCCGGTTCTTCTTGGTCCGGTATCCATGAAAACAACAACATGTTTCCCAGTTCGGAAGAGATAGCGACCGCGTTTCTTTACGCTTTAATTTCCTCGTCACTCCAAAAGTGTGGTGCTGTGCCGCGACTCGCCATGTTGCTCCCAACTTGTTGTTTACTTCCGGTGTTCTGGCGCATACAAGACGTCTCGCTACTCAAAAGACCAAGACTCCTTGCGAACAGAGCATGCGCAGAACACACGCTTTGATGGGGATATCCCGATATGCGTTTACACGACCAAACATTCGGGTTAGAAAAGGGTTACCCCAGGTGTAGTAACCGGGTTTTTAAAAACCCGGTTATGAGCATATCCGGGTTTCTGGCGGTGTTTACATGGACCTGCGGAGCCGGGTTATTGTGAATATTTGGGTTTTAAAAGGGTTACTGGCTGCATGTAAACACACTGAATGAGTAAACATCAGTATTTACCACCCGCACTTGTGTGTGTGCGTGTGTGTGTGTGTGTGTGCGTGCGTGCGTGCTACAAACCTCGCCGGGTCTGATCTTAATATAGAAGTTGTTCCTCTTGTATGATATCTTGAGTATTTTGGGCCAAGCGAATCGATTTATTCGAAGTCTGTCTTTGTAGACCAAGAGCCCGTTGGCACACACACCGAGCATGATGTCCACACCCTCGGAGTCCTGTGACAGTCAGACAAAAAGAACATAAAAAAATAATAACAATGACAGCTCCATCATTTATTATTAAGCTCACAGAAAACCTCTCATGGCATCAATTTGTCTAAACCTGATCATGCTGCAATTGATTTTTAAATTAGTCTGCTTAAGGTCATCAGAAACTCAATTATACAGCACGCACACACACACACACACACACACACACACACACACACACACACACACACACACACACACACACAGTAATTTAGTCCAACTGTAACACGGTTAGCAGGCAGACTAACTCACTGCAGAGCTTTTAAATCCAAGGCCAGCTGGTAACGGTGGAGCTGTATCGACCACAGAGAAAAATCTGTTGGCCGAATGGAGAGTGCAACATGGTGATAATGGGCCATTTTATTGGGCGCGTTTTCCGCATCGCATGGCCGTGCCATGCTAAAAGCCGTGCATTAATGTGTGTCCTTGACAAGAGAATATATTTTAGTTCCGGGTCAAATTACGCTGAGAGGATTTTTACTTGAAGAAACGACGTGGGCAGTTTAGAAGATCCCTCCATCATTCTGTCTGGACGGTTAATCTTTCTGACTAAACGTATTTCTCAAGCTCCTGAGATGCTGTCATCCTTTCCACGCTTCAGCTGGGTGTTCCTGATGACGGTGTCTCTACGGTCTGGTCCACGGGGTTGCAGGTGCAGGTAAACATACTCGGCCGGGTCAGCTCTCTTAGATGTTCCGATGCAAAAATGTTATTTTGAATTACGACGCTATACAACGTTTACCTGAAAAAGGAAAATAATTGAAATGCTGCTGTGAAGACTTGTTTGGACAACACCGTTCTACTGTTTTAAGAACATTTGTTCATTAAGCACATCATCAAACCAAAGTTTACATTTCAGCTTTACAGTGCTGGTTTTTATTCTCGTGGTTCTGGTTGGTTTGAATGATCACCCTTTACAGAAAATCATGTGAATCAAATGAAACACATATCTTTATTTTAGGGTCTGAGGGTAGTTAATGCACACATCTGCATTCCCTTTTCTGTGGCGGAGGCCATTTGGCACTCAGATAACTAATATTGCATTTATGTAGTTTAATATACTGGTCAAAATATATGTTTTGTAGATTTTGAAAACATAAAAACATGCAAATAAATGATTAAAAAATCAGACAAGTAGACTGCTTTACACTTGGACTTCTTAGCAAAGTGGAAAAGGGGAAGTTTCCATATGTGACCTTATCTGTTGCACTCGTTTCCCCCTTTTCCATCACCTCTTTCTACTTCAAGACTCTCTTCCCCTCATGTCTGTTTCTGCTCAGTTTCCCTGTGTTGCACACACACTCCAACATGCTCACACACACATGGAAAGACGCACACATTCTGCTGCTGATGACCTGCTATTCCACAGAGGGAGAGAGTGTGGCCGTTCCCATGGAAATGGCCTCCCTGAGTGTTTGCACAGCTGACACACACTCAGATACAGTGTCACAAACACACACACACACACACACACACACTGGCATGCTTTCCCCACATCAAAGCAACTGTGCTAATCCCCAGATGTGAACAATGATGCAGAGAAGGTTTGTTCATTTATTCAAACCTTAGCGTGGTGCAGGTCCACCCCGTACATGGACAGTTTCTTGGCATTTTCTAGAAACTGGAGGTCAGCCTGCGCCGGTGTCATTCCCCTGTTAAAACACAGAAAACGAGCCAAACTAAAAAAAAAACTTGAGCTTTTTTCACTTATTCACCAGAAATGGTATCTTTGATTCCGGATGTTTAACACACAGCTGAGCAAACAAACATATATTAAAAGACAAGAGAAGCCTGATGATGCTACTGAGAAACAACATGACCCTGCTCCTTCTGACCTGTGGGATTTGTGGAGCTCAAGAATCTTCTCCTCCATCTCTTTGTTCTGGTTGGGGGCGAACGTCAGCTGGTTGATGAAGTCCAAAGGGCGAGGCTGGTCCGGCTCATAGTCGCCAAATTCAGCCTGGAAAACAGTAGAAGTTTAAAGGGACTTTACGGAGTTTTGAATTTTTATGCTCGTGATCGCCCCCTCAGGCCAAAAGCGTAACGGCAGCTTCAATAGTAGGCTCGTGCACGAGGCGCGCATGCTGTACGTGCACACTCCTTAACGAAAATAACAGCTGAGACAGTCCCTTGTGTGTGTGTGTGTGTGTGTGTGTGTGTGTGTGTGTGTGTGTGTGTGTGTGTGGTGTGTGTGTGGTGTGTGTGGTGTGTGTGTGTGTGTGTGTGTGTGTGTGTGTGTGTGTGTGTGGGTGTGGCCCGGAGGACAGAGGACAGGAGAACGCGAGGCTAATTAATGAAATAATTTGGTTCTGTACCTTTCTCTTCAGCACAGCCGACAAAGGTTTATGATGGGTCAGTCCTCCTGCATGCTCAGATCATTCCCTTCCCTTGCTTGAAAAATTGTTCCAAAATGAAAGTTGAACCCACATCTTTTTTATCTGTGAATTCAATGCCGTTCGGCAAGTCTCAAATGAAAATTTGGGCATCTTACTGTAAAAAAATATACTATTAATGTAAAAATAAACTCTAAATAAACTATGTTCACATCCAGAATCAAACCCAGGTCTTCTGCATGAGAGTCCGACATCTTACTAAGTGAGCTGAAGCACCAGTGACGTCCTTGTAACTGTAACTTTTATATCCTTGATGACAGCTGAAACAACGTCAAACCAAAGAACGGTTCGGAGCGAAAATGGCTATTTTGTTGCTAATTAGCAGGAAATTTCTAGAAGAAAGTTCTACAGAAAGTAGCTAAGGGTCCTCAGAAATGTAGCTAGCTTTGTCACTAGGCGTTAGGAACAGCGACAAAGTGGCACTGCCTCTCTCTCTGCTGCTAAAGCTACGGATAGCAAATGCTACGGGCGATGCCTGAGCGTGAACGCGCATGAAGCAGCCTGCTCGACCCGAGCATCTCTCTTTTTCTGTGATTTTACAGAAAAACAGGCAATCACAGTAAAAATGCCAGGGCTCATTCTACAGGACCAGGGCATTGCAGGAGAATGTATGAAGAAGACATTTATTATTTCTATACACGTTTTGGCTGTCAAACTTCCATAATGTCCCTTTAACAACCGTGTAGCAAAATGAGCTCTTGCCTTTAACAGATTAATAAACAAATGTGAGCCTTACCTGCAGTGTGTATGACCCCAGCAGAGCATGAGTGACAAAAGAGCAAGGCAGTCGCCCTGAAGCCACATCCTCTCGCAGCTGCAGACACAAAAGGTACCTACGAAAGCCCACGAGGAGGAAACAGGAATAGACTTTTGTTTTTATTGGAACAATGATGTCTCAACACAAGAAATGACTTGTTTACAGTTTCTTTTTTGCTCTTTGAATCTGAAACAGCTTCAAAGTTCTCCAGTCAAGTCTACAAGCACTGATTAAAGGAATCAAAGGCGTTTGAATAAAAGACGGCTCTTTTCTTGGTTCTTAAAAAAACTTGGTCTCAAAGCTTCTTTAGTTCCCACTTTCATCCCCGCAAAGAACTAAAAAGGGCTTTCATATGAGAAGAAAATGTCTTTAAAGAATGCTCATGAATTACCAAGGGCTGCGATGACCTGGGTGACAGAGAATCTACACCAGCCCTGTGTTCTATCACCAAATTTAGCTGCAAACCGTCTCCCTCTGTATGCGTCAGCTTTGCTACAGTTGTGTGGATTTAGAGTAAACTGTTTTTACAAAAGCACTTTTGGGTGAATTCATCGTAAGAATGAAGCCAGCATGCGACTGGCAGAATCCCCTGAGGGTAAATGTGTCTCTGTGGTGAAGCAGCAGTCACTTGCTGACACTCGTTTAGAAGCTGTTCAGTCGTAATGGGGCAACAAATGTCGCCTCAAGACAGCCCAGTAGTCAGTGTTTTTATGGGAGTAATTACATAACTAGGGCTAATTAATAAATCGGCATTATTAACCAGTCTGTGATGTGTGTGTGTGTGTGTGTGGGGGGGGGGGGCTGGTGCCTATCTCCAGCGGTTGATGGGCAATCAGGCGGGGTACGCCCTGGACGGAGAGCCAGTCCATCGCAGGGCAACACAGAGACACACAGGACAAACAATCACACACACACACACACCTAAGGACAATTTGGACAGACCAATCAACCTAACAGTCATGTTTTTGGACTGTGGGAGGAAGCCGGAGTACCCGGAGAGAACCCACGCATGCACAGGGAGGACATGCTAACTCCATGCAGAAAGATCCCAGGCCGGGAAGCGAACCCAGGACCTTCTTGCTGCAAGGCAACCACTCTCCACTGTGCCGCCGGTCAAATAACAATATTACTGTTTTATATTGGCCTAAATCTCCATATTCGTGTTTGTAACAAGG